ACTAGGCCCGGCCAGGCTATGGGCTTATGCTAGGCTAGGCTAGGCCAAGCCGATGGTCCCGCATGGCCTAGGGTTGGTGGTGCCTGTCTCTTATACACATCTAGATGTGTATAAGAGACAGTATATATATATATTCATGGTTGAACATGCTTTATAAATTAGGCGTACTGTATGTATTATTTTAATAGAGGAGGAAGTAGTTGACTCATATGATGGTAACGGCACACAATGTTACAAGTGATAAGGGATAGGACAGTGTCGAGTTAAAACCAACCAGGGCTATGATAAATACTGCAGCGTGCATCGTTATTAAAGTTTCTACAGGTAGTATGACACAAGCAAGTTTGATTAGGGTAGCAAACATAAAATATCGCGTCATTGGTTCACACTTGCAGAGGTTCGCCATTTACTAAATTCACTGGTTTTCAGTCCTTGATGCCTAGCGTTTTGGCGAATTATATAGGGTGAAATTAGTTGATTCTGTTCAGACTTCACGTGTTTGATGACGTATAGATAATGACGCATCTATAATGTCACAAAAATAAAGGTGCGGAGAAGGATGTGAATAATAAGCAACTCTGATAGATTTCATATCTCGTCTCGTGCCCTCATAGCATGGACTACTTGTAATGCATGTAAAAAATACTGTGAGGGCGTAGTTTAACACTATGTTTTACTATATTCCTCCCTGAATGTGTTTGATTTGTTCAAGTCGTGACTTGTAAAAGTATGTAGGCCTACCATTCTTTGAAATTGTATTATGTTGAAATAAATAATGATCGTATATTACTGCTATTCCTCAAGGTAGTCCAGTATTGTGATAATGCTTGCTTTTTGTTTTTAATACGCTTAGAAGTGAAGCACAGGCCAATTGTTATTACAAATGTGTCTTTTAATTTATAGAAAAAATTACTACCATTAAAAAATTTATTCCAATACTTCTTATTATAAAATTTATTGTCTAAAACTTCAGACTCGTAGCATCCACCTATTTTATTACCCATGTAATTTTTTAATCTATGAAGAATATTCCCTCACTTAAATTCGACATATCCCATTTGGAATTTTGTATAATTAATACTCTCCTTCTTCTAAGAGCGTTAAAACGTGTCTTCCAATCTCTGCCTTGGAAAACTGCAAAATACATCACAAAATAGACCTACGTAAAGCTCTGTTCAGACTAGTGTCAAATTTTTTTGACAAAAAACTGATGTAGGCCTATAGTCGTGATATGCCTATAAATGGTCATGCTGTGATGTCATCATGACCATATTTAGGCATGTCACGTGGTTTTTTTTAAAATACCATTTCATAGTCTGTACAGGTTTTTGGAATTTGATTCACAAACTCATGGTAACCACATGAGGTCAATAACAGCCCTCGCATTCTCTATAGATATTAGTAATCAACGTTGTAAGTAATAAGCACGTTACTTGCTCATAACTATCTGGTAAGTTTGGGTACCTTTCAGGAAGTCACTGAGTCTGAGTAACCACTCAGCAGTTTTAGCTGTTACAGCTTGTATTGATGTTGAATACTTATTAATAAAATCATGGTACTAACTCCATTCTGTTGTTTTTATTTCATAAATTTTGACACATGTGCCAAGCAGGGGTGACGCCAGTGGAGGCCGAGGCCAGGTTCCCCCGACGGGGAGAAAAAAATATCACAACTCGTCGGGGAGAAAACAAATGTATACGTATTTTCTACATATTAGTTGACTAGAAATTGATCTAAAATCAATTAAATATGCATTTGAAACCCATAAATTTACATATTTTGGGGGCCTTGTCCCTGGAACACTTTTAAGAGATTTTGAGCGACGTCCGTCCACCCCACACCTACGTTATTATGTAGCACACCTACGTTATTTTGTAGTTATTTTTAAATGCAAAGTACTGTGCAATTTCTTCACTCTCATTATACCGATTTTAAGTGATTTATGTGAGGTTTTTATCTATTAACTTTACAGTTATAAGTGTATAATTCGTAATAAACATTAAGTTGTTAATTGCATGATTATTAATAGTTCAATACCAAAGTTTATGCTTTCTTTATTTAAAGTTTTTTTTTTAAAACCTTTGTTCTAAAAACTTGTAATTGTTTCCACAATTACATTCAACAAACAACAACAAACAATAACGCCCACTTTTCTCTCGTCAGGAAAGTCGGCCCCTTTTCGGAGGAAATCGCGCCCCCAACCCCCACCCCTCTCGTTAGGCAATTCCTCGCGCCAGCGCCACCCCTTGTGCTAAGGACGCATATATTGAACTAAATCTTATAATAAATGGCAATCCTCTTCCACACGTTGGTCCCGTGTTGCAAAATAGCCCATAATCCATCACCAAAAATATTAGGTTGCGTCATACGTTAACACAGCGTTGCAGAAACGTATGCAACGTTATTTAGTCAGGAAAAAGTTGTAAATACGCATTAATTGTTCTCCAAATACCAAAGTGCAATGTTCATATTTTTACGAAAGTTGTAAGCACTCAGCAATTCGTAAGATTGTTGTGTCCCTCCCCCTCCCATCCCATTCTTTAACTAAAATACGGGCCTTTTCAGAGCATTCAAGATTGTTTCACTTGTTCCACTTCGGTTTAATCTGTTTTAAGTTGATTTTTTTTAAGTTGACAATTCATTTCAATTAAACATTTCTAAAATGCCAGTTTGAGTTTTATTTCTCGCCTCTGTGCCAAATGAATGATTGATTCACTACTTTAAAAATTAATGTGTGTATGAGTTGTGTTCGAACGTTACACTTACGGACAAATGTTGGGCCTCCATCGTATAGTACTACTGTTGTCAGCTGTGTCGACTGAATATCCCGATCTTTCAGCGGATCGTCTGTATGTTTCGGTCTGTTCCAGTTGAACGATGTAGTTGGAACTCTGGGAATATATGGTTTATATGTAACACGTGGTGGTGCTGGCGCTGGTGGGTCAGTACGTCTTGGTGCTAATGTCTTTGGTACTGGTACTCTTGGTTTTATTGTCGGTTTAGGTTTCGGGCGTGCCGGAACAACTGGTGGTTTTGCAGGCGGAATAAATGGAATTCGTGGTTTACTTGGCTGGGTAGGCCTACCAGGATTAGGATGTATATGCCCTAAAGAGTAAAATATGAGAAAACATTAAATTAGGTATATCTGTCAAAAATACAAATAATGTCCATAGAGTGGTTTTCTCATACCGACGTTTGTGCGCGCGTATAATGGCTATGCGTAATCTGAAAATATGGCTACAAGTGGTACCATAGCTAATCAAGGATAAAAACGGCTGTTCAGCAGAAAGAGGTCTTATGACTTATATTATGACTTAGCTCGTAGGAGTACCAATCTATCGTTGCTGATTTTGGTACCTGTTGCCTCTAGTCATGTACTAACTTCATGTAGTATTACTTAGTGTTAGTTAGTGTTAGCATAGGAAGTCAGGTAATTATCAGATAGCGTAACAGGTGAACACAATGCCCACGCAGCTGATCAACAAACGCACAATTATCGACGTAAATTTAAGTTAATATGTTAAAAAATTTATAACGAGATTAAAAAAAAAAAACTTGTTTGCAATTTCACAAGTGCGTCGGGCCCACTTGGAATTTTCCAATTTCAGCCATCAAAGTTACTCAGGGATAAACATATCTTTTAAATGTTTCTGTGTTTGTGACAAGATTAATGAAATAATGATTACAGATGCGTGGGATAATTTAAATGTTGCCAGTGTTTTTACATTTAAAGATTATAAGTTCACTAACATTAGCAACTATATTATTGATATGACTACTATCTTATTTAATCTATATTAAGAATTTCCAGCTTAAATGTACTTAAGATATGCTGTCAGAAAAAAACTTTGCCTTGCTCGTTTTAAAGAACTGCAGATGGAAAAGCAAATAATTATATTCTCATTGATTTAAATACGTTATGTCACAAACATTTTCTTAAACATTAAATTTATTTTGATTGCAGGCATTTTCTTTATACGTTTCAGTGGAAAGCTAATATGTAATTAATTGAAGTATAAAACTTAGGAAATTCATTGTTTATACTGGATTTAAGTGGTAGTAAAATATTTTAAATATTGCGCCTATGATGTAACATCGAATATGCATTATGCACAGCGCCTTTTTATTATCATCATCGCGGCCGTCGTCTCCATTACCACCATCAACATCATTATCATCATCGTTATTATCATTATCATCATCACCGTCGTCATTCAAGATGGGCGCGATCCATGCTCTATCAGAATATCACTCTATCAGGACCTACTCTAATATCACAGCTAGCTATGGCCATTTTAATGAGGAAATGGCTGTCATTATTAATGTCCGAAACGGCCACTACTCGGAAAATGAACCGTTGCATTTTTAGAATCAGCTTACCAAAAAATATAATACAGAAAATCCAATGAAATTAGTTTTAGCACGCATATCTTGCAAATTTACACAGGGCTATAAGATATATAATTTGTAAATCTGTTAAATGCTTACATCTGCTATCTATTAGGACACTTTATTAAATTTGCTTGTTTAATTCACCTGCAAAAAGTCTATTCATTTATAAGAAACACCTTTATTTATGTCAAATATCAGCCAAGTCCACTATTTATTTGTTAAAAATGGTCACGACATATTATTTAACCGTCATCATGTATGTACCCTAATGTTCATGTATTATTGAGATGCACAGTGGATATAATTTTTAGCATAATTACATAATTATTTGATCTCTTCTGATTAGTACTTCCTTCCGGAGATAGTTTAAAGTATTGGCTTATTTAACACTTTCGATTGTATAGCGTAGGCCTACCGTGTGTTTGAGTCTACTAGAATACACCAATATGGAATTACATAAATTAAGAAAACGGGTTATAATTGTATCAATAATCATAATCTATAATATAGCTATAAAATATCAATATACTGGATATTTTTAACAATCAATTCAAGTGTTATTAGGTTTCCTAATCCAGATTTTTATAATAATTAACATAAATGCAATTTTATAGCTGAAGTACAGGTATATATTATAAAAATGAAAGTAATAAAAAGGGCTATATAAATGAATATTAATATTAATAGAATTAAAGTGTAAATATAGGAATCTCTAAGCGCAAAAGTAGTGATGAAGTTATTTTGCATATAATTATATTATGGCTTTTTATTATATAATTGCTTACAATTGCAGACTATATATAATTTTAATTTCATTCTTTTATTTCTTAATAAGCAGTACACCGTAATATTGAATATTCTATCTTCCAGGTTACAAATTCGTTAAGGATAATTCAAATTAAATAAGGTACATTGCCATAACGCATCAGTTCACGCAATTAGGTAACGCCCTGCATTATCATGTAATTGTTGACAGGGTAGATGATAAACTAGGAAATGATTGTTTGAACATGTTAAAATAAATATTTCCGTAAAGATACGGAACCATGCACTTTTTGTTTTGTTTTTCAACTTCAAAAATATATACTTAGGGCTATAATAATATGTATCATATTATCACTATTATTTTTATTGAATATTATTATTCTTATTATCAGTATCAGTATTTTTCCTTTTTTAATCCTCATCACCGTCTTCATCATCATCGTCGTCGTCGTTGTCGTGATCATCATCATCAGCAAAATCATCATCATTATCATCATGATTATATTTGTTGAATATTGGTATTATTATTATTATTATTATTATATGTATGAGTATTATTTCTTTTTCAATCATCATCGTCATCATCATTATCATCATCAACTTCGTCGTTGTCATCGTCATTATCATCATCAGCATCATCAGCATTATCATCATGATTATTTTTGCTATATATTATTATTCACGATTATTATCAGTATGAGTATTATTTCTTTTCAAATCATCATCGGCATAATCATCATCATTATCATCATGAATATTATTATCATTGTTATTATTATCATTATGGTAATGGCAACAAAATTTAGAGAATCATAATTATGAATATTAGGAAAAACTCAAATAGGAAGTTCTTGATAATTCTTCCGCGATTCATTATCTAGCTCTTTCTTCTTTTACTGATATTGTAGCTCTCTCTAAGTAATTAATGAAATAAAGTGTACCTGCACAGGATGTTGATTTCATTACCACATTCCGAGTGTGTCCATTACTCTATACTCAAGTTTCGCTTTAGCCTGATACTTTAAAATAAGCTTACGTTTTTACTTGTATCTTATTTCATTACCACTTTTCGAGTGTGTCCCTTTCTCTACACTGAAGTTTCGTTTTAGTCTGATACCTTAAAATAGGCTTAGGTTTTTACTTGTATCTTCCACCCTTTGAACCTAAATTATGTAAATAATTGTCTCACTCTTTACTGTCTGTTAGTTCATCTTTAAATTCAGTGGCCTAAGTGACGAGGCAGAAGCAGGGACGGAATGGACTGTTCCGTAAAGCTCCGTCTCTTAGATGTTGTTGCCGTGGTCCCACTAAATGACAACTTTTGTGTTTTGTGGGACATACACCTGTTTGTGAACCTGTTTTGATTGGTCAGTTGTTAAGTTAGATTAAAAATCTTGAAAGGTCTAATTTGCATATTCAGTTCTATAATATTACAATTACCCTTATTTTAAAGCCTACAATCGCAGTAGGAGCCATGTATACTAAGAAGAAAACCAGCTGATGGTGAATCGATAGTAGGAATTTAAAGAATGTTTTGAACACCAATTTTAGTTATATCTACCTCGCGATTGGTTAAGATAGCCACATCAGGAATATCCATATTGGCCTATAGTACTGCAGGGTAGGTCCTGCACACGAACTTCGCAATAGGTCGCATGTGATAGAAGCTTTACCATATACCGGTATTATCATATTAAACACAGTTACATTAATAGTGGTGTTTTTACGTGGGAGGAGACAGAGCTCCACTATACGCCTTTTAAAATTATTCTTTTTTAAATGGAGAAAGCATGCAAAATTATAATAAAGTTTATCTGGGAGTGCTATTTTCGGCCATTAAGTCGTGTCATAATCATACATATTCAGCCCCAACTATAGTGGGGCTGAAATGGTCTACACTGTGGTCCCTCTCTATTTTGAATTCATTGATCCACCACTGAATTATCAATAAAATAGTTTAACATTCTGTTCTTTAGGCTTACAATAATAGCTAAAAAGTATGTCACCAAATAGTCGCCATTGACAGGAAGTAGACAGACAACGTTTTCCAGTGACAATAATCAGCATATGTCATGTTTGAATGAGTAATGTTTTTAAAATGACTGTTACACGCATTGGCACGTCTGTGAAATTACCAATGATTGAATGTCAATGTTATTCCATTTGATATTTTATGAAATGCTGTACCTAGGCCTTGTATATACTATTATCATCATCGTCATTCATATTTTATTAAAATTTCAATATGGGAATAAATCTGTGAATAGAAGTCATTGAGTAAAGAAAATACAACGTAATTAATATAGCTACGAAAACAAAAACAAGATAGATCAATGCAGAATATAGGCCTAAGAATGTGGTATACACATTAGGCAGTTGTGTTAACTTAAACACAAACACCATCCAATACCGGGAGCAGACACAGACCCAGGATATATGGCAGAATCACACACGTTGCAAATATTTGCATTCAACTACCACCCCTTGATGTTAATAGTTTGCCGGTATATTTTACCTTCCGAGAATCTACGGTACCACCCTAGTCCAAATATAATAGATTTCTGAACTGGAACATTTCAACATAGATTTGGAAATCTAATCTCAGGAGTTAAGTTTGCAACGGAGTTTTCTACCTTTTGACGTTCAAAATGTTGTTTGTTACCCCTATCTCTTACTGCTATTATCTCCAGAGTATTTTGAAATCTTTATTGCTAAATGGATATTTGAAGCTATATCTGCTAAATTTGATAAGAAACAATATGGAAATATTTAACGATGCTTCGGTATCCCATTACCTAATTGATTTGATGAATAATTATTATACAGTTAGATCAGTTAACTACGGTTATATTATTACAACTATAATGTTCCAGAAAGTATTTGATCACGTTAATGGGAACACCTGAGTAATACCATTCTGACTCGAGTTAAAGGTAGACTAAGCTTCG